ATACATCTCTTTTCCCTCTGCTTCACTAGGTCTTTTTTCCCCTCTGTTTTGCCAGGTTGGGTTTTCACTCAGACTTTCATTACCTCTGTTCTGCAGGTTGATGGTTCACTTTTGCTTCACTGTCATTCATGACCTTGCTGACTTTATTTACTGTTTTCCTATTGCCTTTGTCATCTCAATCAAAACTTGCCTATCTGCACTACCTGTAAAATAGGTATTAAATTGGTTTGTAAAATTTTACTAACTGTAAAATTCAGATCCTAAAAGGGAGACTGGTCTTTGATTCTTGTGTATGTAAATCTCCTTGAGTATCATCTCCTCAATCCCCACGCCCTACCCCTTTTCATTGTAACAATTCTTATATGCTTCATTTTAAAGTATTTTGAGTACATGCATGTGAACATAGGTATAAAGTAACTTTTAAAACTTTTTTTTCAACGTTGACTAAGTCCCATACTCTTCTAAAGAAGCAATCTCAGCTTGCTATAATTGAATTGTTTTCTTACTGCAGTTTTTATGAAGATAGAATACTAACATTTGCTGTTAAATTTTTAGCTTCTCAGATTATTGAAACGGTGCGGACCTTTACAACAGAGGAAGAAGTGGTTGTGGAATGGATAGCCTCTGAACCAGAAGTAACCGAATATGTAGTTGAGTGGTATGAGGAATTGGGGACAGATCCTTTTGTTAGATCATGGCAATATGTATTAAATTCTACAACCTGGAAAACTAACAAAAGTATGTTCATTTATCAGTTACAGCTGTAACAATGTACATATATATATATGTATTTATGTATATTCATTTATAGGTAAAGCAGAAAGAATAAACAAGGATGAACTCATCCAGCCTTCCTCTGACCATTTTAAAAAATAACAGTATTATTACGTGCTTTATTGAAATCTTTGCATGTAATTTAATAGCAATTTTAACTCTCTCAAATTTTCACACAACATGCAAGATGGTGTTTGCTCCCATATAAGATTAGGCTACAGATTTCATGTTTAAGCACTTCTGTGGCTTGATCTTATGCCATGAATCTTCCAGCAGGGAGGCGTATGACAGATGTACACTATTTTAGCAGAGAAATCTAGAACCAAAAAATGAATTTGAAGATGGGAAAAGATCATGTGCCTTCATGTGTGTTAGAGAGAGAACAAGGAACCTGAAAGAGGATTTGAGGGAGAATCCTACTTTAAAATAAGCAAGTGGAGTGATTGGTCAATCTGGCATGTTAAATATCACATTATCGTATATGTATTATGACCTAAGGCATTTCTAAGAGGTTTCAGTGGCCTTATGATGCACTGGCAAATAGGTGGGGATCTGCACACTTTTTTGTTTTAGAGGCTGACGTTTTTTAACAGATAATTTCTCTAAGTAGTAGTGTTTTGGCTATGTGTATGCAGTTTCAATGAAAAACCAAACAGTGTACAGAGTTCAAGATGTGCAAGAGCAAAACTGAATGTTGATGTCAATGCGAATATTCCATGCACATTACCTTTAGCTAATGAAATGCATCTGCTTTTCTTTATACATTTGGACTTTTTTTTTTTACAAACACAGGAATGATGATGAAAATGTTTAATATAATATATGTAATATATGTGATAAGTGAATTTTGGATTATTAGTTCTTTGGTTCTCCATTAGTGAAATTAAATTTATCGAATATGAAAGCAGTTCTTGTTCATATAAGGATCTTTCTGAATCCTAAATCAAGGAAAAAGAATTTCCAAAGTTTTCAGAGGACAAGTACCCTGCATTTTCTAGAGTGAAAAGGAACATGCATTTCATTAATGATGAATATAGCTAGCTTGCCCATGAAGTTTGTGTTACTGGCTCAGACAGCACCAATTTAACTACTGTTTCTGTGCTACAGTAAAACAAATTAAACAAAAATCTGCTTGAAGTAAAATTCAAGAACAGTTTATTACACATTGAACTGAGATGGGTGAGTCTTGAGTCTTATGCTGAAAATTGCACTATTGCAGCAATTTACTGTGTGGAATAAATGCTATTTGTAGCTGTTCTCTCTCTCTCTCTCTAAAAAACCCCCTTTCCTCCTCAGCATTATTAGCAGATCTTTGTTTACCCTAAGCACAAGTCACATTAGAAATGCCAAGGCAAATTCAGACTTACTGTTACTCAGGCCTGATTCTGGCATTCTTTTGTGGAATTATTTTAAGGATGACATGTAGGCCATTATAACTTTTGCTGGGTTGCAGTAGGTTTAAGGGACTGAAAAAGCAGCAGAGACCTGATACAATGCAGGGATGTGTCGATAGCCATTATTCTTGCTCAACAAGCTGCAGAGGTTGAGGAGGAATGGTCTAGGAAACCCTTGATGCTGGTTCACGCCATGGGGTGTAAAGCTACAGATGCGTCCTCGCAGAGTTGATGAGAGTTGCTTGTAAGTAGGGGGTGCACCCTGTTGATTACTTGGCTGCTGGATTGTTCAGAGTCCAAAACTTCATTTCCAGAAGCTTGAACTATGTCTTGAAACATATAAAGTTCTACTGCAGAGATTTCACTTGTACAATTGTACTTTTGAGTCAAGCTGCTTAGAAGCAGACCTGCAGTTGGTATAACTGGAACATCAACGTAGAGTTAAAAGCTGGGTCTCCGTTGTGCCTTTTAAGCTGTTTGATGCATGAGACAAAACTCTCTTCTACAGGACAGTAAACCTAAAGATATATGAAATTAAAAGTATTCCTGGAAGTATCATTTTATACTGGTTATTTGAAAATAAAAAATTCCTTTAACACCTCAGACTCTTAAGAAATAAATAAGTGGCTTTGTATAGAGAAGCTGTATAAGGCTGAAGTATGATTACCCATTCAAAGTATGTCTAGTGAAAAATGAGTCAGAAACCAAGTGCTCTTATGAATACTACTAAATAAAATTCATTACGTTAAGGGCAGTAATGAGCATTCGAGGCAATAAATATATATTGTGCTTGCTAAAAAGTTGAAGAAAATAGATGTCTGTAACAGTATATTTAGAACTGCACTGTGATTTATTCTTCTTTCATTGTATTAATCTCACATAGAGAATTGCATGTAAGTATTCCTTTTTATCCTTTACAGAAAACTTTAAACCATTTATATGCTATAACATCTCAGTGTATCCTCTCTGTGGAAATAAAGTAGCAGCTCCATATTCCATACAGACTTATGTTCAAGAAAAAAGTACGTATTTTAAACTAATAATGTTGTGAAAGGTGTGTTGTGGTCTGTCTCTGAGGGTGTATTATCTTTGAGCAATTTGGTACTGGCATTACTGAAGGAGAGATGTAGATGCTGGGAAAAAAACAGGATTCTGGCTTCCTGATTTCTGTTCATGGATCAGCTACTGAATTGTTCAGTAAAGAAAATTTGCATCTTGTGATACAGGTACATTGCTGCTTGAATGCACTCATCTGTTGTAAAGTTTACATCCTGTACACAAAG